CAGGCCCTGCATAGCTCAAGACTTTAAGGTTTAGGGTTTAGGCTTCAGGGTTTAAGGTTTAGGGTGGGGCATCCTCCCCAAGTCGGATTATTTTGTGTTGGGCTTTCGGGAAAAGACTTGGTGAATCATGCGAGCTGCTGCGTGGGTTTATAGATGAGCAAGGGTAATAGTCAGTGTGAGATGTTACTGTGACATGTTACTGGTAAGCTGTGACAGCAAGTAGCAGGATTCTCGCGAACCCGGGAACCCTGCCCCAAAACCCTACAGCCCTTTGCACCCTATTCCCCAAAACTGCAGAAACCCTGCACCCAAAACCCTTCAAACCTTAATTAAAGCCCGAGGACTCAAGACCTACAGCCCCGAACGCTAATACCGCCAATACATGGGGCTTGGTACATGTTGAAGTTTCTGTTATATCCAGACAAGAACGTTATGCCATTACTATGATAAGCCTAAACCCCAAGACCCTAAACCCTAAACAGTACTTTCAGAGTTCTTATAAGCAACAGACATCTTTCGCTCGCCAGAATTCGAGTTGTTCTCGGCGCGTCATTCAGTTTGGCAACATCGCCACATGGGCAAAGGCAGCGCAGCGAGGGTAAAGAGGTTTGAGCCCTAAACCCTAACCCTCTAAAGCCCTAAAACCCCCAAAGCCCTAAAGCCCTAAACCCCTAAACCCTAAATCCCTAAAGCCCTAAACCCTAAACCCCTAAAGCCCTAAATCCCTAAAGCCCTAAAGCCCTAAACCCTTCAACCCCTAAACGCTAAGCCAAAGATGAGACCTGTGGAGCCGTGGGGCCAAGGGAAATGTGGCTCTCTGATTAGATTTTTGCGGCTTAGGGCGTTTAGGGTTTAGAGTTTTGGGGTTTAGAGTTTAGGGTGAGGGGTTAAGGGGTTAGGGTTTAGGGATTAGATTTGAGAGCTTCGGTGTCGACTTTCCATGCTTATCTTCAGCGTGATCTCGTGCAGGCTGCTGCCTCAGTATGCCGCAGGCTGTAGCGGCTTTCAGGGTTTTCGTTTCTAGTTCAAGAACTCAGTTTATCAGAAACCATAGCCCAGGGTATATACGTATATACATATGTCTATATATATATATGTGCATACATATTTACATGTAAAGATACACATACAGATGGATGGATGGATGGATGGATGGATGGATGGATGGATGGATGGATGGATGTGGATGGATGAATGCAGGGATGCATGGTTGTAGAACCTGCACCTTATAAGAGCTATAAACCCTAGAAGCCCTAAAAGCCCTATAAACCCTTTTTACCCTAAACCCTACAAGCCCTATAAACCCTATAAATCCTTTTACCAACTGCAAGCGGTTTTGCAGACGACTGCTTCAAGCCAGAGCTCCCAGACGGGCCTTGCCGATTACAGTCGTTCGTTTCTTCTTAGCTTTGCCTTGTTATAAGACCTTACCCTAAGGGTCCAAAGGACCTAATAGTCATATACTTGGGTTATGGATAGTAGTTTTGTAGGTTAGTATTCAGAAGAGTATATGATTATTTGGTACTTGGACCCTTAGGGTTAAGACCCCAACTTCAAAAAATGATGTCTGCTTTGGGGGCTATGATCTGTAAATAGTACTTCATGTGGCGTCTTCGGGCTTAGGGTTTAGGGTGTAGGGTTTAGGGTTTAGGGTTTTGGATATTGTTTTCATCGGAATTGTGGAAGAATATGCTGGCTAGAAGTGGATGATCCATGACGGTTCGGTGAATAATCACCAATAAAATCCCTGATATTGAGTTCCTATAGAGATTACTATAGTAGAGGATGCCCCCAAACTCCATTCCAAGTGTTTCGATAGTGATTGTAGTATAGGATGCCCCCAAAACCCATTCCAACCCTAAACCCTAATCCCTAAACCCCAATAATAGCGGCTTCGGTTGTGAGGTTCATGCTTCTGAGCCTCAGTCTCGATTTTTGAAGTGGTACAGGGTCATGGTGTGAGGGTTTAGAGGGTTTTGTATTTAAGGTTTAGGGTTTAAGGGTTTATGGTGTAAGGGTTTAGGGTTTAAGGGTTTATGCTAAACTCTATGAGCCTTTAAGTAAGGGGATGCTCGGATGCTCGTACTTCATGAGAAGGACTATCGTGGCGACTCTCCTGGGGAGTTCTGGGAGGAGCGCGGCCCAGATGCGGGCTTCAAGGCTTTGGGGTGTAGGGTTTAGGGTGAAAGGTTTAGGGTTTATTTCTTAGGGATTCAAATGTGTGAGGGTTATTAAGGGCTTGGGTTCTTTCTCGTGATCTATCTATCCACCTATCTATCTATGTCATCTATATATCTACCTATCTACCTACCCATCTATCTATCGATCTATCTATCTATCTGACTATCTGTCTATCTACCCATCTATCTATCTGTCTATCCATCTATCTATCTGTCAATCTGTCTATGTAGCTATCCAGCTATCAAGCGTTGTGTCTGGTTGAAGCGTGACTGCCTTATATTCAGCGTTTTTGTTCAGATATACAAACAGAGCGGTTTGGTTGCATTGGAACTAACCCCTAGTTTTGCCAGGATTTCTTGGGACTTCAGGCGATCGGTGGTGCACTTAGAAAAGATGTGAAGCTGGACATTGATCCCAATTCAAAAGAAATGGAACGTGATCGGTCAGCTGCTTCCAAGAAACACAGAAGAGATGTTGAAGGCCTTGTAGATGCCTGGTTTCTAAGTACCTGTACTGTATCGGGGATACTTACAAAGCCATAATCGTAATTCCTGATGTAGCAACCCAACATTCTACTATGTAGTATGATTGGGGGCTTAAAAACCAAAATATTGTTTTGGAGTATATTATCTTATACTGTAGGTCATTGTTAAGGCCCCTGTATTACCCTAAGGGTCCATGTATCCGTATGAGTATACTTTGACCCTAAAGTACCTATATAGGAACTACATTAAGGTCTAAGTATCTACCCTAAACCCTTCTCCCTAAACCCTAAACCCTACTGTTTTGGTACGTGGACCCTTAGGGTTAGGTACTGAGGGCCCTTTGGGAATCCGAACTCCGGGAAGCCCCTGAAGTGCCTTGTAAGAGATCTACGACGTCCGTTCAGGGTTTAGGGGTTTAGGGGTTTAGGGGTTTAGGGATTTAGGGGTGTAGGGGTTCAGGGTTTAGAGGTTTAAGGGTTCAGGGTTTAGGGTTTAGGGGTTTAGGTGTTTAGAGGCTTAGAGGTTAGAGGTGCAGGGTTTAGGGGTTTAGGCGTTTAGTGGGGTTGACCCCGTGACGAGAAGACTAAAGCCGAAAACCCCCAAGCCCTGAACGGCGCTGGGCCAAACAACACGCTAAATGGTAGGAGCCCCCCTGAAACGGAATGCTGTCCCTAATTCACACAAAAACCCGACGAAGCTAGACCCTAGAACCTTTAGATGCCTAAAGAATCCTCAGGAATCCCTTTTGGACTAAACCCTATCCCCTAAGCCGAGGTTTGTTTGGATTCGAAGAGCACGGTGCAGGGCGACACGCAGGTGGGGCGAGGTTTGGGGGAGTTGGGTTTCAGGTCTCAGGGAATCATTAGGTTCTAGAGTTTAGGGTTTAGGGTTTAGGATGATTCGGGGGCTTAGCTGATTAAGAGTTTGTCAGGGCTTTAGGGTTCAGGGTTTAGCGTGCTCTTGTTCTGAGTGTCCTTTTGAAGGTGGCACCATTGTGAATTGACTTCCTGCAAGCATCCCAAGCAAAAGGGAGTCTCCCTATGGGACATCCTCAAGGACCAAAAGACCCTTACAAGTAAGGGCCCCATACCCTTATACTATGAATCCCTACATGGTATATGAACCTTAAACCCTTTTAGGGTTCCTTTCGTCTTTAAGGATGTTTGATGTTGAGATTTAGTGTTCAGGGCGCCTGCAGCTGCCGGAGGGATAGGCTCGGTTGATGTCGTGAGTGTATACCCATGTGCCCGGCATACTGATACGGTTGATGATATAAATGCTGCATCACCCAAAGGAATATACCATCATTCCCATATTTAGGGTCCTTAAGGTACTGCAGGATGTATATCGTCAACCGTAGGATGGGGGGAACACCCCAACCCTCAAGGGTGCGAAGGATATCTTGGAACTAGAGGTCCTGAGTTCGCTCATCTCCTTATGCGAAGGGTCCTGTCATTCAGGGGTTCATCCCAAACCCCAAACTCAAAAGCCCTAAGCCCTAAACCCTAAAAGACGCAGCTCCTAAACCCTAAACCCTAAACCCTAAACCCTAAACCATAGCCACTACCTTAGAACCCTTTGGATCCCCAGCCTGGCACACACCTTATAAGCCCCAGTTTAGGGTTTAGGGTTTCGGGTTTAGGGTTTAGGGTTTAGGGTTTCGGGTTTAGGGTTTCGGGTTTAGGGTTTAGGGTATAAACAATAAACACCTACAAACCTTGAACGGTTCGGTGCCACCCTTTGCAGACTGCATTGGGAACCAACACTCTTGGGCTTGGAAGTTTATGCCCTAAACCCTATACCCTGAACCCTAAATCCTATACCCAAAACCCTAAACCCTAAAGACCCTTTTTGAGGTCATAGCCAACTGTTTTGTTATACCGTCACCTCTGAAGCGTCACCGGCTATTGAGCCGCATGGAGACATCAGCCCAAAGTATTTACACAGGGAAAACGTTAAGGCCAAAGCACATACTACCTGGTACACGGGCCCTTAAGCCCTGAACCTTACAGCCAGTTTAGAACCCCCATAGAACCATAACCCTTTTTCGCCCGTAAAGGAATGAGTAGATGGGTAGTTCTCTAAAGTATGGACCCACCTGAAGGTCCCCAATATAGCACGGAACCCTTGTAAAAAGACCCTGAAAGGGACCCTAATAATTTAGAGAACTACCAAAAACCTTAAACCCTAAACCCTAAACACTAATCCCTAAACCCTAAACCCTAAACCCTAAACCTTTAACGGGTTTGGAGAGGAGGACACAGGCCTGCCTAAGACGGCGACGCTGTGCCTCCCACGAAGTCCGCAGCAGAGCGTCCGTGAGCCGGTCCCGTGTTAGGACGGCGAGCGCCAGTTAAGCGCAAAATCCCTAAGAGTCTCGCCACAGCAGCCGTTGACCAGCTTTTCAACTAGTTGACCAGTTGCAGAAACAGCGGGCATCAGCGGTCTACGCAGTAGTCCTTTACGGCCGTCCCTGTGACCGAACATCCTCAAACTATGCAGCCGATGATGACGGGGGCTTGGCCAGCAGTAGTATCCGAGAGCCTTGTCCAGACACTTTGCTGCTGCAAGAAAGCCCAAAAGCACGTCACGAAGAACGACGGGATGCAGGATACCTGCGGAGTCGGTCAGGTCGATCCATCCGAGAACCTTGCCTTGTCGTAGCTGTAGAGGAGGTAGCATCCCTGTACAAACCACAAAGTTGGCCAAAAGTTCAAGATAGGTGATGCCTGCGAGGGCATGTGTAGTAATTGCTGCATCCTGTGCGGGCCACTGTAATTGCAGGCTCCAATCATAGAGAAGATGCAAGAACCGAGGCGGCCAGGCTGACTGCTGCTGCAGACGCAGAGCCAAGTCGGAAGGGCCCGGTGAGGGTGTAGAATACTGCACCTGTCCGTCCTGTAGTGCCAACCATTGCTGTTGGGAGCTGAGAGAGGAAGATTCATCCTGCACATAGTCAGTGGAGGAGGTGTGGTCACTTCGCAGTTTTGCCACGGCCTTGGTGAGCTCAAGGAGGTACTGGAAGTACGCAAACAGGTTCTCCTCTTGCTGCTGGTGCCACAGAGCGACACCGTCAAGCTGCGCCCGAAGGCCTGGCAAATCATCCTGTTCTGCAGCCTTAGCTGCTGCATCTGCGGCGTGGTTCCCAAGAGCGGGAAGGAGGTCAGCGTGGGCGATCAGGTCGAGGTTCTGATGGGCCCTGACTTTGTGCAGATGCACATTAGTCGGCCTCTGTCGGGGCATGTGCTCAAGGAGATCGCCAGCAGTACTCAAGGGGGCGGGCGCATCCTCGGAGGAATCCAGCCATTGCTGCACAGTTTGTTGCGCACTGCTGGAGTCGACCCACACGTGGAAAGTATGGCCAGCCTGCTGTGAGGCGAGGCGAACAACCTGCATTAAAGCTGCGACCTCAGCACGATAGATGCTTTGCTCGCCGGGCAGAAGGCCCTGGGCAACGACGGGAAAAGCCGCTCTGAGCATTTCTGGCTTGTCTCGTACAAGGCGCCAGTCAGGTACCGGTAGGCACTGATTGTGTAGGACCGCGCTCCAGGCCGCGTGGCGTGCCGCTGGGGAAGCGGGGTGTATACACGAGCCATCAGTAAAAACATGATGCTCCCGGCTGGGCTGCTGGTCAAGCAATTGGTCAACCCTTGGTAGCGGAGGGAGCCGGCGGCTGTTCCAGAGTAATCGGAGAAAACCTTCCTCAGGATGCGGGACCGGGTAAGGTGCATGAAGCCAGTGCGGGGCACTCTCACGAATCCACTCCAGCAAAGCCTGGAACGGCTGTCGCACCTCGGTCATTGCTGGACACAGCAGCAACCGGTGAGCCTTAGTGTCAACGTCGCCACAGTGAGGGCAAACCTTCTCCACCAACGGATCAAAGGTGGCACGGGCTGCACGGGACATGTAACCGCCAACAACATTGCGCACGAGGTGAAGTTGGGCTCCCTGCGGGAACTTAGCAAGCACTCTTCGCATGATGCGGGGGCATGGGCAATCAGCCTGGTGTAGTCCATTGCGGTGGCCGACACGGTCACCCAGCGTCTCATTCCAGGCAGATTGGCACGCAAGGCGGATTTGCTTGGGCGTGCTGGTAAACAAGCTGAGATGCCAATGACCGACGCCTTTCAGACGCCCCTCGGGATGCAGTACCCAGCCTTGTGCATGCAGCTGCTTTGCAAGGGCCCCAGCAGGGCCATGTGCGCGTCCAGAATTGGGGAAAGCAGCGCAGGCAGCTTGCAGCCATCGGCGCCCGTATTCAGGGATTGTACGCAGCAGGCGTCTCAAGGCACACAGGGCCTGCACCAGGAGGTAGACAGCTGGGTCAAGCACTTGGTCAGTGATGCATACCATCGCAAGATGCGGCGACATACTGTGGTTGTCACCACAGATGGCTCGGGCTGCCGCGGAACGAAGCTGGTCGACCTTGGCCTCCGGCACATGATGACCCTCCAAGCCGTAAAACGCCGCAGGCCAAACACCTGTCTGGACAAGGTGGGCAGCATTTTGCAGGGGCCGGTGCTGCCGCTGGAGGCGCTTCAAGCGCTGAAGCCCCTCAGAGAGACGAGCAGCTGCTTTGCCCAAACCGCCAACACGATTAAACCGAAAAGCAACCCCAAGATCCTTTGCCTCAGTGACAAGTTGGAGATGGCTGGTTTCGGAGCATCGGGGCAGTGGTTGCCGCGCCCAAAAGGCTCGAAGAGCTGGTGTCGTGCCCCAGGCGAAGGACTTCTTCCAGTCGATGGGCAATTGGAGGCTGTGGCAGAAGTCGGCTGCCCTGCGGAGCATATCACCAAGCAGCTGAGCCTCAGCAGCAAGCCACGACAGGTTGTCAACATAGACCCACGGCAGAGTGTTCTCCCGATGTGTGCTGGTAACGAGGGCCCAACAGACCGCAATTTGGCCGACAACCGACAGGGGATCACCCTCCGGCGCACCAGTGGTGCTGGCAACCGGGCTGCCGAGCTCACCGTGGAAGAGCGCAAATCGCTTGTTACACTCGAGAAACTGAAACCAGATCTCAACGACGTCAAGTGGTACGTGCAAGTGCAGCAACAGCTGGCGGAGTGGCAAGCGCGGCAGCTGGTTGAAACACTTGACAATGTCCAGAGAGAAGCCACCTAAAGGGCGGCCCGACTGGAGGGCCTCCTCGACGAGGACCTGGATCACAAGCGAGATGTCCCTGGCTCCCCGCCCGGGCACGCAACCCCGCACAGAATCTGGGAGCCAAGTAGCCCATTGCTGGAGTATGGCACGGGCCGCAACACTGGACCACAGTCGGTAAATCGTAGCATAAACCGTGATGGGCCGGCCTTGCCCAATGTTCTGCGGCGCATCAACCTTGGCAAGGACATGAACAGTAGCCTGGGCGAGGTGGCTAGGAAAGCCACAGTCTCGGCAGCTGGCAAACAGCTGGGCAAGGTGGCTGACTGCAGCCTCGGGGAGGGTTTTGAGTTCCGCTGGGCTAAAGCCACAGTAACCAGTGGCCCTGCCGTTTTTAAGACGGCGAATCTGTTTCCTCCACAGTCCAACATCCTGCATATCAATCGCTAGGTCCTGAGCTGGTAGCGGAGCCGGTGGCAGACTGTGCAGGAAGGTGGACCAGTAGGCAGGGTCAGCGCGGGCCGGGCCGATGTCACGGCACCAGATGGGTGCCCAGAACTCAATGAAAGCCCGATTGAGCTCAGCGGCCGTGCACGCGGCACTGTCCTGGACAAAACGTGCCGCCGCTGGGGGGACTGCAGGAGAACACGTAATCCTGAGCAGGGGGCCTTCCTCCTCAGTAGTCTCTACGGACTCAACGGATACAGGAAGATCATCCAAAAGGGCAGCCTGGCCGGTGCGGACAAAACGCGGCTGAGGCACAAAATAGAGCCCCGTATCAGGCGCAACAGTGCGGATCAGCTTGGCTGCCTGATTTTCCTCATAGGGGATGCACAGGAACGGGGGCCTGGGGTGTGGCCGCAGAGAGCGGAAGCCAAGGCGGGAGCAACCCGTTTGACAGTCAATGTGCACCTGAAAACTGGCGAGCTTTCGCCGGTGTTCGGCCTCAGCTCGGACATGAGCGTCAGCATCGAATTTGACATATTGCAGGACGTCGCGAGCCCACTCAACCGGTGGAAGTTGGGACCAGTAAACAGGAAAGTGTGGGCACTGCAGCAGCCACGTCGCGAAGGTGGGCTTGTATCCCCTGCCCCTAGTGATAGCAGCCCACTCCTGGCAAAGCTGCGCCCGAACCGCGGTGGGAATGTCATCGCGGGACCCGGCCTTCGTGAGGCCCTGCACAAAAGTAGACAAACGGCGGACCTGCCTGACCTTGGCTCTGGCAACAATGGAAACAGCCTCGCAGGGAGGAGCATAGTCCCCACAGCGACCCGCAGGGGCCGAACGAGGAAGGGGGCGCTTGCGCAGGGGGCGGTAGGCACAACGGCCTCGAGCGGCTCTGGGCAGGGACCTGGCAGGATGGCTGAGCGGGTCAGCGGTGTGAGCCGTTTGGATTGCTGTATCAACAGTAGCTTCTACGGCAGCAGCCCAAGTCCGAAAAGCTGCATCAAGTTGATCAACAGTGCGACTGGATTGGATGGCTGCCTGTACCTGGTCGTGGTAAGAGGCATAAATCGGGGCAAGGTCGACACTGGCTGGCAGTATGGGCATCCAGGTGGTGGGCTTGCGCCAACTCTGTCTGCAGGGCGGCGCAACAGGCAGAAGGAGCTCCGTCATGAAAGGAGCATGAGAATCGAAGTAGCGCAGGTCGTCGGCGACTCGCATGCCCTGGACATAGGGAAGGAGGGAACCAGACAGCAACAGAGTATCATTGCGAGTGGCTTGTTTGCAGGTCGGGGGCAGCAAGCAGCCCGTCCTGGTCTGCCAGTATTGGAAAGCTTCAACAAATCCAATTTGCTGGAACATCTCGAACTCCGGCAGCATGGTGACGTCTGTGTTGAAGTCCCCGCCGACAATGGCTGGAGCAGGGCAGGCTAGCAAGCGGCGGAGCACTTCCTGCAACAGGGCTGCATTGCGGCCACCTGCATCCTGGTAGTTGGCGGGAAAACCATATACAACGAAGAACCTGATCTCAAAGTGGCCGATTCTGACATGGCTCTCGAGGAGCCGGGCTGAGCTTTCAACCTGAGGTTCAAGTGGCACGAAAGATTTGCGTGCCGGAAAGCGAGAAAGGAGGGCCACTCCCGAAGCATGACCGCGGAGCGTGGTTTGGTGCTCACGCTGTGTCTGGTGGGGGGCCACAGGGGCACTCCACACCGCAGAAAATCCAGCAGGCCGCAACTTATGTGCAACAATGCGCTGGGCGTCCTCCACAGCAGAAGTTTCTGACACCAGCACAACATCCTGCTGCAGGCTAATGATCTCCTGGTCTTTGTGGAGGAGGGCAGTGGGATTGATGACAGCAACCCGCAGAGGCAGTTTTTCTGACGGATCATCGGAACCAGAGGAAGTAGCGGATGCTGCCGAGGAGAAGCTAGGCTCAGTGGCAGGTCCTGGCAACGGCAGGGACTGGGCAGCCGGCCGAGGAAGGTAGTCCCGCAGGTCGGTCTGACGGGCCGGTCCAGGATTCTGGGCTTCGCCAATTCGGCGGCCACGCAGGTGATCAAACTGGCCGAGGTACGGATGGCCAACAAGAAAAAGGGCATGTACCCTGCTGACGCTGTGCAAAAGACACGGACGCGAGAGCTGGTCCTGGAACAAGGGGGCGCAACCCCGGGCCCCTGCAGAACGCAAAACACAAGCCCCAGCGGTGCGGGAACGTTGGAGTGAGGGCTGTGTGTCAAAAAAACTGGAGACAGAAAGGGCCACAACCCCTGCGGCGCACTGGAAAGTAACATCCACCCGGGGGTGGAGCGGAGCCCAGCTGGCATGTTGCACTCCCAAAGGCGGCCAGCGAAGAACGAAAAGCAGCGCCCCACGGTGCCAAAATGGCTTGGGGCAAGAGCCCACGAGCTGTCAAAGCTCGTCTTCCTTACTATCAGGCTTGTGCTTCTTAGCGGCAGCGCGATGCTCACGGCTTTCGAGGAAGAGGCTCTTAAGTTCATCAAGGCTGTTCTGCATCTGCTTCTGCTGCTGGCTTTGCGCATTTTGCAGTGCCTCTGCAGATGCCTGCAACTGGCGTGTGAGCTCCGTGCCGACAGAGCTGAGCTGCTCCTGAAGACCCGCAGTTGCCTGTGCAGCGGCTTGACGGTCAGTGTTTTGCTGCTGCACAAGCTGGCTGTGGTTTTGCTCCTGCTGGAGCTTGAGGTGCTGGATGCCTTCCTCGAGGGCCTGGATACGTGCATCCTGTTGCTGAAAGCGCTGCTCGGTGGGGCCTGAAACGGAGCGAGCAGCAGGCGCTGGCGCGCCAGAAGCGAAAGGCTTGGTGCTATCGCGGCTGCCGTGGGCCGAAACAGAAGAACGGGAGTTACTCCACGGATCACTGAACAGCCAGGGGTCTTCAGCAGACCTGTTGTCCTTGGGGGGAGCCGACGGCGCAGTGGGCGGCTGGAGTTTGAGGCTGCCAGACTGCACAACAGCTTGACGCACCTCACGCTGCTGGACGGGCTTGATAAGAACAGTTTGGCCGTTGAACAGAGGCCAAGCCGACGGTGGTTGCTCGGCTGCTCCAACAAGCCAATGGCAGGGGCCGGAAGCACGAATCACTTTGATGCACCAGTTGAACTTAGAGGCCCAAGTAGAGACCGCCGCAGCATCAGCCCCGCTAGGCACCGGGCCGATCCTGAAAAGACACTGGACTGCCACACGTGTGGGTGCAGGCTGGCCGGGGCGGATAAGACCAAACGCAGCCTCATAGCGGGCATCAGGCACCCTCAAACCGAACCTATCCTTAGAGCGAACGAGGCCACGTTGCTCAGGGATTTGCAAAGAAGCCTTAACGGCCTCCTGTCGCTGGCCGCCGATCCAAATGATGGAATAACCTGAGAGCAGACTGTGATCAAGCTTCCTGGGCGTGAGGTAGACATTGTTGTGACCGCTCGCGACCAGGAGTGGGTCGGTCTCGCCTTTGGGCACCCGAGCTTGAAAACTGACCTGATCAGCTGCGCCTGGGCTCGCAACCTTACCTTTGCACCTGTACTGTCGCCCCCAAGGGGTGGTTATAGCCCTGCTGGCGGCAACATCCTGGAAGGCAGCTAGCATGTGCTTGACAGGCGCCTGGACAAGTTGCTCCCACTGGCCGGAGGAGAACTCATCAGAAAAAGCAGTGAAAGTGCAGCACAGGATGTCCGGCAGCTCAACAGTGATGTCACTTTGCTGAGACGAGCGGATGGCTTTGCCCCCTACATTATGCAAACAGCCTGCAAGGAGCAACTGAGAACCGCAGGCACGGCCGACTGCCGGGAAGGAGAGCCGGCCAGAACAGTTGTCAGGGTCCGGGCAAGTGTGGCCCAAGACAAGAATGCCGAGCTCGTCGGGCTGGACGCCTTGGAGTGTAGTCAACGCATCCGCGGCCTGATCCCCGTCAACTAACAGCAATCCTGTGGCACCTGGGCGGATGCTATCAAGGATAGGGGTGGGCGAGGCGTCGTCATTGACAAAGAAGCCGCTCTGGACCTGAACCGCTGAGGCTTTAGGGCAATCATCCTGCTGTGCGCGGCGCTTGTTGAGCTGTCGCTTGGCCCGCTGGTCGGCTCGCTGAAACAGGCTGGTGGTCTGCGGCACCGGCACCCCGAGTTCTTTCGCATAGGCAGACAGCTGGGCCCACTTGGCATCATCACTGTGCGCTTTAATGGCCTGGCTACGCCTGGCGACGGAGCCATCCTTGGAGACATCATCAACAAAGGCAGTGGTGGTGCGCAGGTCGAGGCCTTGAGCAAGGCAGACTGAAGCCGCCCTGGTTTGTGCCCAGTGCTTTTGCTCATCCTTGAACCCGCCTCCAACAACACTGGGCTGCAAAGTCAACAGGAGGCGGCCGCTTTTGCGGAGAACACGTTGGGAGCGCCGGGAGTGGATAGCCAACAGGGAGTCTTGTGCCTGAACCGGATGTGGGCCGGAAAAGACACGCACCGCTGGCGGGAGTTGGCATGCCTGGCACGCTGCATGCCACCAAGACTCAAGCTGCTCGGCCCGCAGAAGGTCCGAGAGATGGCCCCACCAAATGCGCCTTGCCTCAACCTGGATTTCAACCGGAATGGCATCTTCAGCTGTTGCAGCGGTAGAGGCGGACTCCAGACAAGCGACAAGAAACCAGGTGCGCAGCTGGCGGGGCAGTGTGGATGGCTGAAGGTGCAATCTAGCGAGGCACGGTGTAAGGCGTAGGGACATTGGCGCCTCTCGGGCCGGCGGGAAATTCTCAACCTGAGTCTCCCACCCAAACGCTTGTGCAAGGTGGAAAGGAAAACCAAGCCACAGGTCAACAGCATGGCCAGCCGGGCACGTGATGGTAGTCTCCTGAGGTGGAAAGCTGGCCTGAAGCACCGGCACCGCCGTGGCGAGAAGATGCAGTGGCAAGAGCGGGGCCTCGGGAGGGGAAGTGTTGGCCACTACACACCCCTCAAAGTCATCAGCAAACCGAAGCCTTTGGCCAGAAGGGGTCCAACAGCAAAGGTCCTCAGCATCAGGAGTGAGGAAATCAAAGACATTGAGAAGCTGCGTCCACATCCGAGGAGACCAGGTGTCTATGACGAACACACCCTTATCAACCAACACAGTGCAAAGGCCGGCAGCTCCAGCATTACCCCCATCGAACCCAGTACAGCCCAGACTGGGGGGTGCATCGAGACTGAGCCTCAGGGCAGGGAGACGGTCATGGGCGTCAACCGGCAGCGTCGGTGCAACATGCGCAAGGCCGAGGTGCGAGAAGACCCGGAGAGCGGGTGCGCCGGCAGGCGCATACACTGTGATATTAGCCTGTCTGTGCTGAAAGGTAACCGGCACAAAGTCCAGTGGAGCCGAAGCACTGGGAGCAGGCAAGGGCTTCATAACCCCTGAAACCAGAAGGCCATGAACCTGATCTTTGCGGCAGAGGATCCAGTGAGGGCCCTTCGGGATGAAGAAAGCATTAGCATTATGCATGCGCTCAGACAAACAGCTCGCGACAGCCGCAGCGGGGTCAGGGGAGGCCTTACAACCCAATGCGAGGCAAGCATATGCAAGGCCAGCGGCGGCCTGTGGCACTGCCAGGCTGTTGCCCAGCAGTCGCATCTGGCAGCGGCGGTCCTCCTGGAGCAGCACCGGGCGAACGGCGCCATGCAGAGCCGCTATTTCTGCACCGGAGAAGAAGCGCAGCACCCCTTGGTGTCGAAGAAGGAACCCCAAAAGACCTTTGGAAGACAACTGGTTCGGGGGAAGCTCATGCTGGAACTGGTACTGTGCCATAAAGCAGCCTGCAGTAGCGGCCGCTGTGCGAATGCGGAAGGCCTCAACCCGACTCTGAGAAACCTGACCTAGCCGAGAAGGTGGCATAAACCACGGGTCCATGTAGGTCGTCACAAGATCCTGCGGGAGCACAAGGGGCCGTAGAAGGCTCTCCGGCAAATCAAACAGGACCTGAGCAGTGGCAAGGTTGTGTCGTCTTGTGCTGGCCCAGTGGTGACTGGGAAGCGCAGCTGGGCCCAAACAGGATTGATGCCGAAACACAATAAGCGTCCGAGGCCGGGAGCTAGGCAGCACGTCTATCAAATCTATAGTGGCCTGCCATACGACGGAATAGCCAACCTGCGTCCATGCCGAGAGCACTGTGGCGGCATGTGGGTGCCTCAGAAAACCTCCAACCTGCTCAAGCACTACAACAGGCACCTCAATCGCCCCAAGGATATCTGCTGCACGCAACATTAGCATACCATCATCGGAGGCAAGGCCTGCGCCCTGCCCGGCCAGACTCCACGGCTGGCACGGCGGCGAAATTGTCGTGATATGGACGGGGCGTATGGCGAAAATGCGCAACCACCAGTCATGCTGAATATTGGAATTGACATGTACCAGTTCAGGCGTATCTGAAAGAATGTCCTCAAGTTCCGAACCATGCCAAACTGAACGCATTCCCGGGTTCTGAGTGCGGAGCATATCCTCGCATTCAGGGTCCACATCCAACGTCCAAGAGGTATGTATAGGTGTGCCGCTACGGTGCATGATGTAAGCCGCCTGGGACCAACCTGAAAAACCACCACAGAAGACCTCAGCGACGCTAATCGAAGAGCCTGTTTCAAGAGAAGCCGTGCAGATAACCGTGGTAGGTGCCTGGGTGCAATCCAACAGACAGTCCTCCTGAGACATCTGGACCAATGACTGGAGGACCTTGAAAACACCGGTGCAGTCTTCAAGCGCCAGCCAGTCGGCGTGTCGCAATTTCAGCAGGACCTTGTGCCCTGATGTTTCCCCGTCAGCCCTCAGGACGTAGGCCCTAGACAGCAGCCCTGTCTCCGTCGAAATCGAGGCTCCAAACGGACGAACCAAAAAGTTCTGAAGGGTCCCTTGCATCAACGGATCAAGATCAGCAGCAATTGAAGAAAGGCGGCGCCACTCCCCTGAAGCAAGCAACCGGTTGCCGAAATCAGCCCTCGATGAATCCATGGTCCAATCGGCACCCTCCCCCTAGGAAGGGCAACGGCGTTGCCACGAGTAGGCTTGGACCGAAACGCTCCTAAACCCTAAACCCTAATCCCTAAACCCTAAACCCTAATCCCTAAACCCTAAACCCTAAACGACTATCCCCAGGGACCCTTAAAGTTGGTAGCCCTCCTACGCCGTGGTTTCGGCTACCAGCCCGAAGCCTTGGAAGACTTACTTGGAGGGCGGGGGGGGGCACTTGGGAAGTAGGTAAGAACTCATAAGTATCAGGGATCTTAATTGGGGTTATGATACTTAAACCGCTCTTCAAAAAACCACTTGCTATGTCTCCCGACCCCTCCAAGTATACAACCCCCTATAAACCCTGAAGAAGCTTAGGACTCAGGGCTTGTTGAGGCTGTACCCTCGAACCGAAATGAACCGAAAACCTTGAAAACAGAATGCTTTCAAGGCACCCAATCTATGAAACAACCTTAGTTCGAAATCCCTAAACCCTAAACCCCTAAAACCCTAAACCCCAAATCCCTAAACCCCTAAACCCCTAAACCTTAACCGGAAGCTCGAAAAGTCCACCCCTTGAAACCTTTCAGGGTTTTGGACCCTGGTACCAAGGAGCGGCCAGTCTGGGTCCTGTTGGGTAGGGTGTTTGTATTGGATGGCCGGGTGCAACCACCTAGGATGTGCCCAGACGTACTGAAACCCTAAGCCGTAAACCCTATTGTGGACTTAGAGGGCCTTGTAGTTTGGGCGATCGAAAGTGAGTCCCAGAGCCCCAGGCTGCGGTTTCGGGATCAGCTGGGATGGATTTAGGGCTCAGGTAAGGACATGGGATGCGATTTTGGGAGTTTCGCTGTCGGGTTTAAAGATGTCGCCTACAGCCCTACACCCGAATAATGTTGTTGATGACAGAAATCCTGCAGTACTTGAAGGGTCCTACACTATGGGAATTATGGTATATTCCTTATATACGGGTAATGCAGGATTTATATCATCAATCATATTGCTGCAATTATATCCAAAGACGCTTAAACCGACAAGCAGGTCATCACCATGGACCCGCAGCAGCCATTGCCCTTCGAAGCATGAAGAGCTTTCGTTCTGGGTATTGTTTATGTTTGGTAGGCTTTATCTACGTGTTAGAAATTCCAGGGCGGGTGCAATCCGAAAGCACAAGCTTCAAAATTTAGACGCTCTTCTAGATTTAAGAAATATGTGGAGAGTGCGCTGCGGCAGCTTGGAGTGAAGGGTGGTCGCGTTTAGAGTTTAAGGTTTACGGCCGGGTAGTGGGCTATTTGCGGAAGACGATTTTAGGCCTTGCGGGGTTTGTTGGGGATTTCCAGGATGTTTGGCAAATTTCGGGTTTGCTGGTACTAAGGTGTCCTGTTTATTTCAGTTTGGGGAGCGGGTTTCGGCTCCCAGGCGACAACCCCAGAAAGGCTTACTGACGGCAGCTTGTCTTTGTATGCCATCTTAATTTTGATTCTACGGCATGGCAGATTCCCTAAACCCTGAACCCTAAACCCTAAATCCTTCGCCCTAAACCGTAGTCTTCCTAGGCCCTAAACCTTAAACCCCTACTTGAGCAGAAGTACCCAGGACGCTTGACGACTTCGTTCGGGATTTAGAGCGAGCACAAGGTTGCGTCTGAGAAGATGAACAGACCACTATGTTAGCGACCCAAAGAGGACATAAGCATAAACATGTTATAGGGATATCCCTACCTGACTGGGATTCAGTATAAGGGTGATGCTATGGGATATCCCTATCCTAAGTGTTGCTGGTGTGCCTTTTTTTTGGGGGGGGGGGGGCGACTCTGATTCTGGGATATCAATGAGAGAACTTGGAAACTCGAAACCCTACAAGAGCACTCCTGAGTAGTAGAGTTTAGAAGAGGAGGTAACCTTCGAGCTGTTTGGCGGTACTGTAGCCCCTATGTAATCCCAAAGGTTAACCTTTTTAGCTCCCGCTGATGCTAGACAAGCAGGACTCGAGACGATCTTGGCGAATCACGATAAAACAACTCGAGCACATAGACAGAAAAGCCTTGAACCCTAAGCTAAACCCTAAACCAGAAAGATGATGAGCGGCAAACGATGGCTTGTAATCGCCACAGCATTGAAGGGGCGGAGCGCGGAAAGTGCTACTACTACTGAAGTCACCGCCTTCCAGTTCCTCGCGGCCTTATTTGCGCCCTGGCATCCTGCCCCTCGTGTGGCGAACCTGGGGATCCGGGGCTTCGCAGCCCCGGACATTGAAGCGGCCACCAAGTTTCTGGCTCGCCACAAAGTCGCGGCACACCGTGCCGCCCAGATCCTTCTGCATCCCGGAACCACGATCCTCCCTCTGGGAGCAAAGATCCAAATGCTCACCTCCGCGCTGGGACCCTGGCAGGGGTCAACCTCCCCCCTGCGGTTTTTTTCGCAGGTGCCTGCCGGCGTGTGGGCAGTCCCAGCGGCTCCAAGAACTATGCCAAGACGATCTGCGGAATCAAGTGACAACTGTCGAAGACGAGCTCATGCTGCTCAGAGACAGCATGTTTTGCTGGCTCTTTGCTTGTATGACGAGTAGCAAAGAAAGTTGCCGTTAACTTGATGTTGTTTTCAAGGGGTCGGGCTCAGAATAGTCACTGCCGGACTTTGGTGTCTATACATATATATGGTGTGGTGGCAATATTACAAGAACCCCTACATCAGATTTACATGCCTATGTGAACATAACATGAAGTGAATGAGTTACATGAATAGCTGAATAGCCTTAATGTAGCCTCCTTGGTTCAGGGAACTCAGCAGGCACCGCTGGAAATGTCCGGCGTTGCCCAACTTAAACTTACGCAGAAGCACCAAAGATGGGGGTACTGAATCCCGACCTAAAGCCTAAGCCCTCCACCCAAAAGTATTAAAGGTACATAACGTAATCAACAGCAGGTCGCTGACCGGCTTCTCGAAGGTTGCTACCCGAAGGCTGAAGGTTTCGAGTATGTGTGGTTCTGGGTTTAGGGTTGACCTATGTGGTCAAACCCTACCCATTTTGGGGGGTTACCTGCTTTTCTATACAACAGATCCTAACCATGAAGCTAGGTATGTCAAAACAGGCGCATGGTATGAACCTCGAGGTAGGGTTTATTCTGCAATTGAAGACGGGCTCTTGGGAATGCTTCCTAAAACCACAGGCTTACCAGCTCACCGACCGGTGCGCGTTCCGGCTACCCGGCTTGCATGCAGTGCTCGCTGTAGCATGATACTGTTGATGATAGAAACCCTGCATGACTTTAAGGGTTCTAAACTGTGGGAATTCTGGTATATTCCTTATTATGGGTAATGCATGATTTATATCATCGACCGTAGTAAGGCGCACCCCGCAGCAGGCCTACAAGGGCAAAGTCCCCCCTGATCCTTACAGCCCCAAAAACGAACATGCGAAAGCAACCAAATTCTGATTCCTGAGCACTAAAGACCCTGAACCTTAGACCATCTTAAACCCTAAACCCAACTCTCAACTAGTCATCGCAGACGAGCCTGAAGCTGCCGCCCACGTTTAGCGATGTTTTTCGCCAGACCTCTACACTCTCGGGTTCAGGTTAATGCTTTGTGGATGTATGTCGTGCTTTAAGTAGGGTTACAGCAAGGGTTGCTATCCCAGATTTATACCATGTGCCCTAGACGCTGTCCCACAGCTCTGTGAACCATAAACCATAAACTCAGCACCTTTTTTTCCCTAAACCCGCAACTTTTCCCTGTTTCCAAAACCCCTGAACCAGGACCCTAAGCCCTAAACCTTAAACCCTAAACCCTAAACCCTAAACCCTTTCAACCCTAAACCCTAAACCTTAAACCCTAAACCCCTGAACTCCCTAAACCCTAACCCTAAACCTTAAACCCTAAATCCTATAAACCCTAAACCCTAAACCCTGTAAACCCTAAACCCTATCCCTGCCCAAGGTTCCCTTTTGGTCATGACCGGCTCCTTGCTGCCTCATCGCGATGAGGTAAGGGCCGGTTTGGGATCATTTAGTGTTTGTAGGGTCTAGGAGTGCAGGCTGTAGGCTCTAGGGGTTTAGGGTTAAGGGTTTAGGGTTTAGGATTTAGGGTTTAGGATATAGGGTTTAGGGTTTAGGATATAATAGGGTTTATGGTTTAGGGGTTTAGGGGTTAGGGTTTAGGGTCTGGGGCTTAGGATATAGGGTTTGGGGTTTGGGGTTTAGGATATAGGGTTTAGGGTTTAGGATATAATATAGGGTTTAGGGTTCAGGGTGGTCCACCGTTCTGTGCTTTGGGTAGGTCCTCAGATGGGTACCCCATAGAAGCAGACTCAGGGCCACCTTCCAAGAGGGGAAGAGCATGGTTGCCCGTGAGTTGTTGCTTTGGTTGTGGGTGGCTTAGGGTTTAGGGTTTCGGGTTTAGGGTTTTGGGTTTGGCTGGCTTAGGGTACCAGAAAGTATTCAGCCGTGCTGCAGATGCACATACATAGACCCAAACACACAACTTAAATACCTACCTGCCTGCTCGCATGCATGCATGCATGCATGCATGCATGCATGCATGCATGCATGCATGCATGCATGCATGCATGCAGACATCCATACATAAGGACATGCGCACATGCAAGCAAGCAAGCTTGCGTTTGCACTACTTACTTTACATGCTCATTCTCTAAGTGATCTACTTCCTTTTAGCTCCGATTAACGAGTAAACATCAAGTTGTCAAATTGAAGCGCAAAATGTAACCGCCACAACAGCCATGAGTAGCCTGTGTGCGAGCAGCTTGTCCAAGTGCTATGCCCAGAAAGACATCCGAAGATAGGTTTCGAGTGTAGGGTTTCGGTGCTGATGCCTTGTTCGAAGTTATCTGCACCGGGTCTTGTTGCTGGGGCTTTGCGTCTAGAGCGAGACTTGCATAGACAAGGGATGTCTCGAGTTGATAGGTCCTGAGCGGAGAGACCCTTTGGTTCAATTTCTGCCTTTGAGCAGTCTTCAAAGACCCTAAACCCTAGGCCCTATAGACCC